AATCTTCACACAAATAGTCAAATTCACATTTGTCTGACACGTTATTCACATGTTATTTAAGTCTTTTCAATCAGACTTCTTCATAACTGTGGATTTTTCATCTTGTGTTCTTATTTTGGTTTCTTTTGATTATTTAACCAGTTACTTATTAATTGTTTCAACAAGTTATATTAAAATTTAAATTAGGATTCTACATCCAAAATGCTGAAATATTGTTGCTTTTTTAACAATATTGACATCTCTACAACAAATGCTATTTGTGTTTACTTTGAATGCACATGGACATTTGTAATTAGGTACACACCCACTGTACATATACATTTGTAGTTATGTTTATTTATCTGCACACTTCTGATTATTAATAGCAACCTGTACACATACTTATTTATTGTAAATCTCTGTTCATAGCTAATACAAGCTGTATATAATTTTCATAGAACATCCATCTGTAAATATGACCATAGTTTTTCTAAAACTGCACTTTATAACTTATACCTGTATCCTGCACTTGCTGCTATTGCACTGCTGGTTAGATCTAAACTGCATTTCGTTGCCTTGCACTTGTACACCTGTAATGACAATAAAGTTGAATCTAATCTAATCATCTAATCTAATTTAACCCATTTGAATGCAATTGTGATTGTCTTTGGACATTGATTCATTTAATTCACTATATTTGCTTACACTGATTATTTTGCTGATTTGTTGTAAAGCTATTTTATTTTGATGTTTCCAGATATTGTGTAAATAACTTGTTTGCTTTTATTTTGTCTTTATCTTGATCATATTTTTAATTACATTAATTTAAGGGCATTTTGCTTGTGGAGAACTCAGACTGACCACATCAATTCTTTGATCAATGACAAATGCCATGAGTTTGTTTTTGGTGTTTGTTGTGCCATTTCACTGTTTTGAAATACAGGATCCATAGAGAAAAAGTTCACATCTTCTGATCTACTTCAAGAGATGAGCAGGGTTTCCCTAAATTCCTCAGCACTTCTTGTGGGTGTATGAAGAACAATTTGCATATAAGCAGTGCAAAACCATCCTATGAAAGCCTCTCAGCAACGACTGACAAACCTTCTACCTGCAACAAGCCTAGACAGGAAGCCCGAAGATAACAGCTGTGATGGTATGGGGTAGATGGAGAGGAGGCGAGGACCCAAATGCAGGAAATGAAGGATTTATTATTAAAAAAATAAATAAAAATAACCTCAAATCTCCCCAAGAGGGGAAAAAACAACATTATAATACACACTCAACTAGACTTGATTTGGTTCTTTGCATAAAACACTACATTTAACCACTGTTGTAGATCAGACATCAACAGACCTCATACAATATCAAGAGAAAGCACACAATCAACAACGGACCAGCACAGAACAGAGCACACTAGGAGACTAAATAAGAAAGACAAACCAATAAACAGACAGTCGGACAGGTAAAAATAGTAATTACAAACAGGATAACAAGGGGGTTGGGACCAGACGCTAGACAAAAGAACACAACCATACCTGTCAACCCTCCCGTTTTTCCCGGGATTCTCCCGTATTTTACAGTTCTATCCCGCTATCATCCCGTAAAGGTATTTTCCCGTATTTCTCCCATATTTTCAGTCTTTTTCTAAACAGCCAAGCCTCCCTGTACGCAACACATACCGCCGAACAGCCAGGGGTCGCCCCATGCTCTAAAACGTGAGTCGTCTGTGCTTTCGCTTTATTTAGGAATAAAAACACTTATAAATAAATACTAAAAACGGCACGATTCCATTTCCTTTTGATTACAGGTGCCGTCGCCCATCCTATACAATCCTCAAAACATTCATATAATGTTGCATGACTAATATGCTGACGTGTTCCATAGCGATAAACAGATGCTGTTTCCCGAACGGATTCTGTACACGCGATTTGAAGAGAGAAAAAAAGTTTGGCTTTTGTGTGCGTGTTTAAACAGACATACACACATAATTAATAATAATCACATATTAGAATGTCCATCTTGGTGGGGGTTTTTTCCAAACACAACTGCACAATTTCTTCTTAAATGAGCATAAATGTATGGAAAGCAGTCGAATGATTTCATTATAATGTTAGATGTGCGCATTTTAAAGTGACACCTGACTAGTGTCTGGACTCAGCAAAACAAGAATTAACAGGACTGGAGTGGCAGAATCCTGACAGACAGCAGCACACATCACATAGCTTTTTTTCATTATTAATGTCACCTTTTGCCTCTTCATGTGTCACAACGGTGCCAGGGGAGGATTGTAAAAGTCTAAATTATCATATGCATTTGTTTATATGGCAAAACATGTAAGTTTTCACAAAAGAAGGCTTACACTATTCCAAAGGCAGATACTGATGAAATCAGGGCCTGGAGTGTGGACTTTAAGGGTGTTTACGATGTGGTAAAATGTTGATTGGTCAGTTTGAATGTCTCCATATTTGGGCTATAGTCACATGGTTTAGAAAGATACAAAATAGGTGGTAAACTCTGCTCTGTTTCTTTTCTTGGTCTGCGCACACCTGCTCTGCTCCTCCTTTAAATATCTTCTCTGCCTCTTTGAGGCCTACTTGCTCTCTTTGTCTCTCCCTTTCTTTGTCTCTCCTTTTACCTCTGGTAACTTTAATTTTACATTTAAGCTAGGTACGATTATTATCATATGTTTTTATCGGTTCGTATTTTATAATTTTACAGTTATTTGTAATTAATTCAGTTGTAACCACTACTTTTGATATAACATCAACACTTAGTTGCTCCATATTGCAATAAAACACAATCACATAATATCAACACACTCCCACATTTTTAGCTATTAATACTGCCCTTATTTCAGTTTTTTTTTTTTTTTTTTTTTTGTATGAGATTGCAGAAGATTGGTTTGACTAGAAATATACAGTTTTTTTACCATGCTGATAACTTTAGTCACTCGGCAAAACTAAAGTTTAAACCGCTGTGGTTAAACCCACTCTTACATTAAAACCCCATTTTGATGATGACATCATGTAAACTTCTACAAAGTATTTTACAGTATTTTAAAATACAAAAACACAAGACATTAAAAAATAAAGACATTTTCATAAACCCTATAAAATACAAATGACAAAATACTATTTTGTATGTAAAATACGTACTTTACATGTATTATAATTATCATATATGTGCTATACCTGCTGGCACATATGTGGGAATGATGGGTGGGGAGAACCAGCTCATTTGCATTAAAGGCACAAGCAACAAAGCAAAACAGCCACAGTGTACTCAGACCATAAACTGCCCATATTCAAAAAGATACAATAAATAATCTGATTGATAGTGTAAGCTGTAACTTTAAACACATTCTGGAGAAACCGAAGACCTTTCTTAAATCTTAAAAAGGGGTAAAATAGTAGCCCTTTAACATCTTTATTATCTTTATCTTTATTTCCTTGTTTTTATTTCTTTTTTCCCCAGTTAATTTTTTTTATGTTTACATATCTGAAGATCATTTTTGTGGGTAAATAAATAGGTATAATTACGTATAATTATACTTTTTTTGTAATGTCACAATACATGACATTTTACAAACTTATTTTTTTTTTAAAGTTAAGAGAGACTGAACAAGATAACAGATAATGCCGGGTTTTCACTTTGCCCTTTATATTTGTGTTGCTTCACACCACATGACTTTATTTACTTACTTATTTACTTACTTACTTACCTACTTACTTACTTTAGATGCACCATTTTAATTACGTCAACCACTAGCCATTAGAGTGACAAATAATATCTGCTTGATGTATGCTAACACTTTTTTCAAAGCCCCAAAATAACAATCTACTGCATGCAATTTTCAATTTATTTTACTAACCCTCAACCTAACCTAACAGCCTGGTTGAAATGCAGTTGTAAAGTTATATACAGTTGAAGTCAAAATTATTAGCCCCTCTGAATTATTAGCCCCGTTGTTTATTTTTTCCCCTAGTTTCTGTTTAACAGAGAGAGGATTTTCTTAATACATTTCTAAACATCATAGTTTAATAACTAATTTCTAATAACTGATTTATTTTATATTTGCCATGATGACAGTGAATAATATTTGACGAGCTATTTTTCAAGACACTTCTATACACTTTAAAGTGATATTTAAAGGCTTAACTATGTTAATTAGGTTAACTAGGCAGGTTAGAGTAATTAGGCAAGGTATTGTATAATGTTGGTGTTGTAGTTCTGTAGAAGAAAAAAAATTGCTTAGGGGCTAATAATTTTAACCTTAAAAATGGCTTTAAAAAAATTAAAAGCTGCTTTTATTCAAGTCAAAATAAAACAAATAAGACTTTCTCCAGAAGAAAAAGTATTATCAGACATACTGTGAAAATTTCCTTGTTCTGTTAAACATCACTTGGGAAATATTTAAAAAAGAAAAAAAAAATTCAAAGGGGGCTAATAATTCTGACTTCAACTGTATATACTGAACTGAAGTATATGTTACTTCATATATATATAAGTATACGTTACTTTTGGCCAGCGGAGAAATTAAAATGGTCGTGCCCAACTGAGTCTGGTTCTCTCAAGGTTTTTTTTCTTCACTCCCATCAGGTGAAGTTTTTTTTTCCCTCTCCGCTGTTGCCACTGCCTCGCAAGGTTCAGGATTGGTAGAGCTACGCATCGATGAATTGGCTCTTCAGTGTTTGAACTCTCAGTAATGATTAAATCACACTGAACTGAGCTAAACTGAACTGAACTGAACTTAAACACTAAAACCTGAACCACACTGTTCCAGTTACTGAACCACACTGTTCCAGTTACTATGACCATTTATGTGAAGCTGCTTTGACACAATCTACATTGTAAAAGCGCTATACAAATAAAGCTGAATTGAATTGAATTGAATTGAATTGTTAAATTATTATAGTGAGCAGATCCATAGGAGTAGAGGATTTTTACCAACTATGATCTTGCCAAATCTTTTACACACTCTTCATTTTCATATGCTATCATTAGAGTTAAAAGAAGCTGACCTGAGCTTGGGAACAGAATGACCTGAGAGGACTCCTGATGGTGTCTTCTTTCCACTCTTGTTTCTCTAGTCATTCGTGATGCTACATGGTGCACAGCTCTGTTCCCTGCCTGTCGTGTTGGCAGCTGCAACACTGGCAGAGGAGGCTCATCCAACCCCAAACCTTCAAGGATCCTTCTTTTCAGCCAGCCAAGCACCATGTCACACGGTAATTCATCTCCTTGACAGGCCTGAACCGATGGAGGAGAAAACAAAGCCCACAGCATCAGGGCACAAGCAAATGAAGACAAAGAGCTTGTCCCAGTTAGCATCCTCAAAACTCAACAGAGGTTAAAAGCAGACACTGGAAATTACAAGCGCATAAACGAAAATCGATGTGTATAGAAAGTTTTTAAATATACATATACTGTAAGTTCATAAAGATTTTTTTTTTCTTGAAATTTTTCTGTTAAAAAAAGAGCTCTACAGTAATCCTTCTTCTTGCAGGTCCATGTCATAGTAAAAGAAGTCTGTGATTTTCTATCTTTTCGTTCTTTTTTTTTTTTTTTTTTTGCAAGCAAATAGCAATCATTGTTTGGGTTCCTGCTATCACAGAATGGATGGGACAAAACGACTTTTGAGATTACAGTTCTTTCCCTGTTGCTTGGCCTTGGACGGAATTGACACAGTATAACAAGAGAATTTTGAAAAAGATTTTTTTTTTCCTAGCAGAAAAAGTACATTTACAAATTTGTATCATGCTTTTATTCTCACTGCTTGGAATTCTTAAAGAATGTTAACCCTAAAACTCTAACTGAAAACTCTGTCATCATTTACTCACCCTACAATTGTTCCAAGCCTATTTACTGGTAAATAAAGATTGGAAACTACTTGATGAAAAGGAAATAGTGAGTATATTGACATCTCTTAGTGAACTATCCCTTAAACTCATTCATTAATACATTTTCTTTACGGCTTAGTCCTTTTAATAATCCAGGGTCGCCACAGCGGAATGAAACCGCCAACTTATCCAGCATATGTTTTACACAGCGGATACCCTTCCAGCTGCAACGCATCACCGAAAAACACCCATACACTCTCATTCACACAAACACTACAGACAATTTAGCTTACCCAATTCAGCTAAACTGCATGTCTTTGGACTGTGGGGAAAATCGGTGCACCTATAGGAAACCCACGCAAACATGGGGAGAACATGCAAACTCCATACAGAAATGCCAACTGACCCAGTCGAGGCTCGAACCAGCGGCCTTCTTGCTGTGAGGCAACAGGGCTACCCAGTGCACCTCTGCGCTGCTCCTCCCTTTAACTCAGGATACCCAAATTAAAAACAGAGCATTAAAACATCAATCACGTGAATGTAAATTAAACATGACATCTCCTTTACATTTCCCAGAGATGGGTTGCGGCTAGAAGGCCATCCGCTGCGTAAAAACTTGCTGGATAAGTTGGCGGTTCATTCCACTGTGGCGACCCCGGATTAAGGGACAAAGCCGACAAGAAAATGAATGAATCTCCTTTACAACTTAAAAGTAACTCAAGTGCAAATTACTTTTTTTTTTTTTTTTTGGTAATCTGTTCTCCCAAACCACATGCAAAATAGACTTTTTATATTTAAAAGAACGCTCTACTCTTTTCTTTTTTACCTTTACATTTCAAATCCTTTTTTTTTTTTTGTACTAGTAAACATTTGAGTTTATCCTTTTTTTTTTTTTTTGATCCATTCAGTTAATCTTAGGTATTGGCAAGAGCACTTTTAGCTTATCTTAGCATAGATCATTGACTCAGATTAGACCATTAGCACCTCACTCAAAAATGACCAAATAGTTTTGATAACTTTTTCATATTTAAAGCTGGACTTTTTTAATTACATTGTGTGATAAGATGAATAGAATATGATAAGTTGCTATTTTCTAGTTTCATTTGGCTAGGAACTATACTTTTATTTCAGTGTAATAATCAAGGGTTTCTTCCGGGTGCTCTGGTTTCCCCCACAAGTCCAAAAAACATGTGGTATAAGTGAATTGGGTAAGCTAAACTGTCCGTAGTGTATGAGTGTGTATGGATTTTCCCGGTGATGGGTTGCAGCTGGAAGGGCAATCGCTGCATAAAACATATGCTGGTTAAATTGGCAGTTCATTTCAATGTGGTGACCTCAGATTATTAAAGGGATTTAGCCAAAAAGAAAATCAATGAATGAATAATTAAGGAACTTTTCAGTTGTAGCAGACAAAATTATATTATGCCTCACCTGAAAATTGGCTAACTTCTTTCAATATAACCAATGTGACCACCTGCTTGCACAGTGTAACTGGAGTGTGTGCCAGTTGTGCTGAAGGTTACCTAGCGGGGGCATATTGTTAGCCAATAGTGTTACACAGTGTAATACTATTATATATATATATATATATATATATATATATATATATATATATATATATATATATATATATATTTATTTATTTATTTATTTATCTTTAGTGAGAAGATATTTCAGCCTAGAAAATAACAGGTTTTTATTTTTTGTCAGTATTAGTACACAATGAGGCGACTAAGTGGCTCAATGGCTCGCCTCACAACAAGAAGGTCGCTGGTTCGAGTCCAAGGTGGGTCAGTTGGCATTTCTGTGTGGAGTTTGCATGTCCTCCCTGTGTTTGCTCCCTGGGTTTCCTCTGGGTGCTTCGGTTTCACCCATAGTCCAAAGACTTGCCCTTTAGGTGAAATGAATAAGCTAAATTGGCCATAATGTATATGTGTGCATGTGAGAGTGGATGGGTGTTTCCCAATACTGGAATGAAGCTGGAAGGGCATCCGCTGTGTAAAACATATGCTGGATAAATTAGAGGTTCTTTCCACTGTGGTGACCCCTGATGAATAAAGAGACTAATCCAAAGGAAAATTAATGAATGAACAGTACACAATGTAATTACAGAGGAGTCAAGCTTTACAGTAAATAGAAAAATAATCAACTCTTTCCTCATTTTGGAGTAAGATGCTAATGGTCTCATTTAATTCAATGATCTATCCTAAGCAGAGCTAAAAGTGCTCTGGCTAGAAACAGAGCCAAAAAAGTTGTATTATTAGCATTTTTTTTTAAAGTGGAGTGATCCTTTACGTTAGTACAGTATGTTTATGTTAACGTTGTTATTATCATTCATTATATTTAATACATTCTCAGAAATAAAGGTATAAAACCTGTCACATTTCACCTTTACAAAATGTACACTTCTGTTACTAACAGGTCCATTTGTACAAAACGCATTTGTAACTTAAAATGTACTTATTAATGGGGAAAAATAAAAATATGTACCTCATAGTACTTAAAAAATGTACTCTGAATAAACAAAATTGTATTAACCAAATCCTATTATTCTTTGTTCTTGTTGAGATTTCTCTGAGAGTTTTGATACTAAAACATCTGCTTCCTCACAGTTTGTGAGCTTGAAAAGAACAAACAAGATATTCCATTATCAAAGAGTTGGCCTTGACTTTGCACACACCCCTAGTGATTTGCCTGCATTTTGGCAGAACTATTTTGAAGATCAGTTCAGCCAGTTTTACATTTTACTTACAACACCATGTTAAATCATAGAAGATTAACTTAACACAAACAGAATATGTTGTTTTTCCACTAATATTACTTTAGCCACCATTTTATATAACCTATGGTTAATGATTTAATATTTAAAATTTTATCTTTTTCATGAAAAACACCTCAACATTTTCGTTTTTTTGGTGTGTGTCACAGTTGTTTAGACTAAGTTTAGACTAATGCTTTTTGTGGATTTGGTATATGTGAATTTGTTCTTCATTATATTGTCAAAATAATAAAATGTGCATTATCAAGTGCAAAACTTTCCACACTGAGCCAGCAGATGGTGTAAACCAACAAGTAATGCAGTTAGCTTAGCATGAAATTAAAGCAGTTTCAGTCTTATGTATGTTAAACTTCAGAAATGTATGTAACTCCTGGTCTTATTTATACACTAAAGTCATTAATAAAATAGCATATAAGTGTTGGGGGTCTGTCTCAACTCCTAAATATGATCAGGGACCATTTCAAGTGCTAATGAATCATTCAACATTCATTTTGTGTACTGATTCCACACACACATTTCATTTCAGGATTTCAGGAGTGTGGAGGCATCTCTCAATGCATGAAACTTTACTGAACAATTCCATGGTAAAAGCACAAAATGTTTGGGATGACCTAAAAAAAAACATTCAGCCTACCCTACAGTATGCCACAGCTGTCACTTGAAAGCTGGTGCTGCTCACATGTCACCTCTACAGGGATTCTGTGTAGTATAAAGGGCATGGAAGAAAGATAGGGGGAGAACAGAGAATGGAACGTGTTAGATCTTTAAATGACTTGAGCTCTAATATGCACCACCCTACCATCTAGCCAGCAAGGGGCCATGTGATGTGTTGGTAGATTTCTGGAAGAGAGGGTCACAATCCAAAAGAGGCAAGGAACAGTCCATTACCCACTCCTGTGTAAACAGAGACTGATACTGGACTAATACTACAAGATCCTGAGAAGGCTTAAAAATTAAGCTGCAGTTAACGGAGATATTCAGAGACACTGTGTTAAGGTAGGGTTAGGGTTTTTTTCTTGCTTGCTTGCTTGGGATTTACTGTATTACAGTGTAAAAGTATGTGTGTGTATGTATATGTATATATATATATATATATATATATATATATATATATATATATATATATATATATATATGTATACATACACACACACACACACACACACACAGACAGATGAAGTCAGAATTCTATAAATATATATCACATATATTATATAAATTCAACGTGTTACTGTTTCGTAATTACTGATTCTTACAAGAAATTTCATTCAAGTATGAAAGGCATAATTACAGTAGAAAACACTCCTTTGTGGATTTTTAACTGTTAAAAAATCATCTAATGAAATTACTGTTAATGAAATTTTGAAAGAGCAAAAGCATGGATTAGGTTTAGTTAAATAAACCCTTGTTATACTGTAAGCCAGCAAAAAAAAAAAAAAAAACTTACAAACTTCAATAATATTTAAATGTGTTGTTTTCAAATCCAGCCAACATCAACATTCACAATGTTTTTGTGTGTTAATAAACACAAATGCAGCCAATATTGCAATATTTTTAAAGTTATTCAAGTAAAGTTGGATCCATAAAATCTGATAGATAGATAGATAGATAGATAGATAGATAGATAGATAGATAGATAGATAGATAGATAGATAGATAGATAGATAGATAGATAGATAGATAGATAGATAGATAGATAGATAGATAGATAG